GAAGAGTACACAGGAACAACTTCTTTATGAATCTAAAATTATTTTTGTTTAATAAAAAGTCTTTAAAATGTCAAGTAGAAAATGAGGAAGTAGGCACCTATAGTTACTATGCAGGGCCCAGCAGATACCACAGACCAACCATCTCAACCAAGGATCTTAAAGCACCAATTTCTATTAGTTATAGGGACTAAAGAAATAGAGTTCCATACACAAGCCCCTGGGTCTTCTCCATGCTCAGCAGAATCCCAAGTGCCCAAGCCAACATTTCAATAGCACCACCACATGTTCCCAGGCCTCGAGACCTCAACCTTGAAGCTTCTAATGTCCCTGGTGCTACAAAAGTGAGGTTCCTTGGGAACCATGCAAATGTGCTGATTACAAATACACATCATGAAAATATGGTTGCCCTCCACCTATTAGCGTTCTATCTGAGATCATGTGGTAGCTAGATGTTCCAAATTGGTAACTGACACATTCTATCTCCCTCACTCTGACAGGAATTGTTAATCTTAAAATCTTCAATGAGATTCTGCAGAGGGAAGAGCCTCATTTACCCCAAGGATGCAAAAGAAGAACATAATATACAAAAACCCTGGGGAAAGGAGATAACTTTTGAAAAGCTGAAGAATATAGTTTAAATAAGCATTTGAATAAAAATACAGTCTATATGCTTTTTGGAGTGGTGAACCCATTATTTGGTTACTGGAAGGGCCAGGACCAAGACATGCTGATTGGGGAATGGTCCACAGGCACTTCCGGAGCACTCACCTGCCCTTGCATGTTCATGATGACCACTGTGTTTGATCTGTTGCACACCACAAAGTGCTCTGGGTTTTTAGGAAGCAGGATCACACTGTTGACAGTGATGTCTGTCCCTGCAGTGCTGCCCAGGGATTTAAAGGTATTTGAACATTCTGTGGTCTTCATATTCCATATCTATGACAAAAAAAAATTAAAGCCTAAGAATTTCTACAGCTTTGAGGTTTTATTTATTTTGTTTGTTTAAATATATTTTTATTGATTTCAGCGAGGAAGGGAGAGGGAGAGAGAGAGAAACATCAATGATGAGAGAGAATCACTGATCAGCTGACTCCTGCACACCCCCTACTGGGGAATAAGCCCGCAACCCAGGCATGTGCCCTTGACTGGAATAGACTGGACCCTTCAGTCACAGGCTGACACTATC